CTCCTGCGTCGCTCACCCCACAAACTTCCAGCTCGCCCGTAAAGATTCATTTACAAAGCTTGACACGTAGATAACTATTACCATCTTCTTTGGTATGAAAAATTAAAACAGTCAGGAGGTTTTTAAAAGTATATAATAAAATAAAATACATCATCATAGAAAAAAACAGACTTCACTAGAATTTTTACAGTGAAAACTTTTCTTGTCTACTTACATTAGCTAGAGTTACTTAATTAAGACTTAAAAAAAACCTAGATTGAGTGGCTCGCCAGTGTACGCGTGTTTGGATGATTGGCTTTAATTTTTCTCCTGCCGTTCGATGCCGCTTCATTAATAAATAAATCGTTTGCAAGATGACAGTGAAAAATTACCACGAACACAACACAAAAATCGACCTCGCCGTTTGTCACTAAATTAAGATACCGAACGGGAATCAAGTTAACCGGTTTTTAGTATTTTCATGCAGACTTTTCGTTAATTTAATTGAAAAAAATGCTCACCCAGTTTATAACATGGCTTGATATTAAAAAAAACATTAAAGAATTCAAGTAAGCTGTCCAAATTCACTATTTAATTATATTCAAACTAAGAAAACACGTCAAAAAAATAAAATAAAATATGACATTTAATAATTTTCTAAGGGGTTGGTAATCCGTCCAAACCAAAGAACACCACGTGACGTTTGTTTTGTGATGTTAATTTACTACACGTTTTTATTTATACAAAAAATTAACACACAGTAGTACTGTAACAGTAGTATTTTAATACTATTATTGCAATACCCAAATGTTTTTTGTGTGCTGTTTCTTATGAAAGTGTGAAATTATCGAACAGTTGATATTTTTAAAGAGCAGGATTTCACAGAAGAAGAATCAAGGTGAGTTCAATTTAAATGTTTAGTTTTTGACATACGTTTTGTTGTTTAACAATAGAATTACAGTTGAATAGTTTTAAATTTTGTAATACCAAGAACTATTAAGTACCATTAATTGTTATTAATTATAACCTAAACGTATAAAAACAATTACCCCAATGCATTTACGTTAGTAATTTAATAATAAATATTTAAAAAAATAAACAAAAACTAAATAAAAAACTTAATTTTTTCTACAAAATCCAATTTTTTTTAAAATTTTAAACTGTATCGTAAAATGTCTGCAACCGGAATTGTAACATAGTGTATACGTGGTTGCATAGTTACACTTACATTTTCTTCTATAAAGTGTATACGGGGTTGCATAGTTACACTTACATTTTCTTCTATAAAGAGACATTTGGACGCGTTGCTATGGATTTGAAAACAGATTAAAAATAACAATCTAGTCCAAATACAAAAACTAATCAAATTAAAATTTTTATATACCTACCTAAATCAATTCTAGAATAAATTGAAAAATGGAAAATTAGGTAAATAAAAAACCAGAAATAAATCCTGAATTATACCATTTCATAAGAATACTTATTATAGGCAGGGACCTGGACCGGACGGTTTTTGGACAGAAAACCGGACCGGAACCAGTATGTATTTGTGGACCGGAACCGTAACCGAACCCATATTATTTTTAAATTCATGTAACTCTAGAGACCGAATCCTTTAAATTTAAAACTGTTTTTAGGTTATTTTCGTTTTTTTTCTTAATTTCTTTTTGCAAAAATTAAAAATATATATTTTGTTTCGTTAAAAGAATCTATAAATTAGTTTTTATCGTAGTGTTTGTTTTGTTGAGTTTTATTTGAACTATTTAAATAAGTGTTTAGAGTTTTTTTAATTTTATAATGCGAATATTCGTTTTTTGCAATTCGCATTGCGCGTCAAAATTAACGCATAATAGTACGAGATCCGACTGCGTGATTTCTACCCCCATCTGCTTTTTAAACAAAATTTAATTTTTAGAGATAATTATTAATAGAGGAATACGTTTCTACCGGGTTGCCTATCAAAATATGGCCGCAAGTATCTTTAATTAAAATTTAAATATTTAATTTTTTTTTAAATTGCACCCACTTAGTTTAGAGATAAATTATAATTTATTTTATAGAGAGATATCTAAAGAACTTAAAAATTATGGGTTGCAGTTTCCCACTTGGCCGCAACCCCTTGGCAACCACGTGTAAACAGGTATTACTCCGGTCAATTTTGCACCTATAACGTATTTTAATGAATTATATGTTAAATTAAAGCTATTTTTTTTCTCTACACGATGGTACACGGTTGCCTATGATAAAGTGGTCGCAAATAGGGGTTGCCAACTATTAAAGAAAGCGCACCAAAACGTCTATCAGAAAAGATCGCAGTGTGCCAGTTTTAGTTTATTTTAAAACGTCATTTTTATTGTAACAATTGGAATTAACAAGTACGCGAACAAGTACGTTTGTTGTAAAATTAATATTTAAAAAAAATTAAGAAGTGTTTTCTTTTGTGTAATGAGAAGGACCGAGTGACTTTAATGATACATTATTTAAAAAATGTTTTTTAATGTTGTTGTTTCGCCGTAAAAAGAAATTTATGTACCAGGACATTAAATTAACAACATGGTTTGTTGGAGATTCAACGCCACTGCAAGTTAAAGATGTGGTTTGTAATTCTATTAAAGAAATAGACGAGAATACAGATGATTCAGATATAAGTAGTTGTGTGAGTGACAGTTCCGATGAATCGGAGGATGCATAAATGCCTGTGTCTCTGTGAATGATACGAAAATGTAATTTTGTGTTTATAATTTAATATATTTTTGTTAAATTTGTTTGTTTTTTTAATTTAATTATATTTATAAATATAATTTATATTTTTTTATTAATTACTTTCTGAGGTTTTTTGTAATATTTAATGAGAACTCATTTTTGTAGGAATTTTTTATAAAAAATAAGCTAATATTTTACTTGAAAATATTTTTTATCTTAATATTATTCCAAAACTAAAAATAAATTTTTAACAGTTGGCAACCCCTATTTGCGGCCACTTTATCATAGGCAACCGTGTACCATAAATAGCTTTAATTTAACATATAATTCATTAAAATACGTTATAGGTGCAAAATTGACCGGAGTAATACCTGTTTACACGTGGTTGCCAAGGGGTTGCGGCCAAGTGGGAAACGGCAACCCATAATTTTCAAGTTCTTTAGATATCTCTCTATAAAATAAATTATAATTTATCTCTAAACTAAGTGGGTGCAATTTAAAAAAAATGAAATATTTAAATTTTAATTAAAGATACTTGCGGCCATATTTTGATAGGCAACCCGGTAGAAACGTATTCCTCTATTAATAATTATCTCTAAAATTTACATTTTGTTTAAAAAGCAGATGGGGGTAGTAATCACGCAGTCGGATCTTGGACTATAACAAGTAAAAAAAATCCAACTCTAAAACGCCTTTACCAATCTTTATAAAATTTTGGATAAAAATACTTTACTAAATATTTTACTCAGTTTACGTGTCCAAGGGTTTTTCGAGAAAATATCCTTAAAGCCCTTTTATTTAATAACAAAAAACGCTCCAAAAAAAACTTTTATAGGGAATTTTTTTTTAATTAAGTAAAAAATATCCTGTGAAAGACCGTATTTTTGTTAGTTAACCCTGAAAATGTACAAATCAATCGAACAGTAACGAAAATACAGCGCTTTAAAGTCGTCAAAAATGACCATTTTTCAGCAAAATAATCAAAAAGGGGTAATTTTTACCGACTTTGAAGCGCTGTATTTTTGTTACTGATCGATATATTTTTAATTTAATTTAATTTTTTATTTTTATAACGTTTTTTTTATTATTTAATTAAAGGGCTTTAAACATATTTTTTTGAAAAACCCTCGAACAAGTAAACTGAGATATATGTAAGTTGAAGTATTTTTATACAAAATTTCATAAAGATTGGTAAAGGCGTTTTAGAGTTGTCTAGAATTTTTTTACTTATTGTCATTTGAGTAGGTACTTATGGTTAAAAAAATTGGAACCAAAAAAAACCGTATGGACCGAAAAGATTGGTCCGAACCGGACAGAAATATTTTTTTTGGAACCGTAACTGAACCCGAACCGAAATTTGTCGTTTCTCTCGAAACCGGAACCGGACAGGAACCGTTATTTCAGTTGGGTCCGGGTCACTGATTATAAGTACTATTATTATTTTAATAATAATTATTAAGAATAAAAACATCTTAAAAGCAATTTATAGTATTACTTAGGCAGGTATACAATTATTTCGTTAAATAATATATATTATATAGTACCTATATACCTAACTTTTACCTTTTTAAAAACCTTGAAATTACTGTATTAGAATATGATATAAAACTTGTGTTTTTTTTTTCATAGTCAATCGACGATTTTCAATTTTTACGGTCTTTACTGGTTACATATCCAAAAAATAGAATTAATACAAAAAAGCAGCTTAATTGTCATGGTTGACAAATGTATTTTCTCACAGTTTGTGTCAAACATTCAAAACTTTAAAACACACTTTTTATTTTGAACCTAAAAAACTAAACTATTTTATAATTTTTGTTTTAAAAATAAAATCATTTTTTTAATGATTCACAATATTCCTATATGTCTATAGTTAGTGTCTAAATTTAAAAATTATTCTTAAAAAGCAATGCCTATTTCAAAATACTCCACACATCACATATTTCACTCATGTAATTTCATTGTTTTAATTCCTATTGAATAATAGAAAGCCATACTTACATACATATGTATAAATACACTAGAACAAATATGTACATAGTACGTATATATGTCTACTAGAAATCTTCAAATAATACGTTACCTGCATTGAAAATGAATTAAATAATTACACCTACAAGAAGTTCAATAATAATAGTCTTTAAATATTAGAGATGTCTTCAGTATTTTTTAAACATATGCATGTGGATATATGAAAAGAGAAAGTACAGGCCAAGGACTGGTTTGTACTTTCACTACCAAAATCTTTAATAAGATATAAGATCCTTAATTATTGTTGTCTATATTTGGGTTCCCCAAAGGTAAATAAAACAAATTGCTACACAAATAAAATTTTTAATAATATGTACAAAAAAATTTAAAAAAAAAATAGTCACTAATAGGTAGAGGAAGATTGGCACGTATGAGGAAGAATTACAGCATCTAAGAAAATAAGAACAAGAGTAAAAAACAGACTAGACAGACATGCAAAAAGTGGTGCTCATAGACTAGATGACGTGTAAATAAAATGGAAAAAAAGATGTGAAAGAAATGATAGCGGTGATTTTAAATTTATTATTATTGGCGACCAACTTGGTCAATTTGCGTTTGGAGGTTGTTTACGACCTCTGGGGGGAATTGGTCTCCCAAAATTTCGAAGAGGTTGATTTTTTGGTTGCCGGGGATGCTTTCGTAGGCTCCAATTTCGATACCTTCTTGTACCTAGTGGCAAAAAAAGAAAAAATTAAAATTTAAAATTAATTTTTTTGTTAAATTATTACTTTTTGAATTTGGGCGTCCTTAGGGATCAAGAAGGTGTTCTGGGCCTGCTTGATGGCTTCGTTAGTGTACGCGCCACCTTCTTTTTGTGGAAAAGCTGCAGCTACAGCTGCCAAAGCCAAAATGCACACGAAGTACTTCATGGTTCTACAAAAAAATAAACAAAACGTCACCGCCACTTTTCAAACACTTTAACACAATTGACTTTCACTCCTTACCTTTTAATGTACTCACTCGACAGACTTAACTTAAGTGACAAATTTGTTTTCACCGCTTAATTCTTATATAATATGTGAGATCCATCTCTCTTGAGGTTGCCCCTTCCAATACTTCTCGTGTATTTTCTGGGAAGATGCTCTCAAAATTGTGATTGTAGATGACCTGCTTTTAGGTTTTATGATATTTATGATGATTTTGATTGATTTTATATTTTGTTTGTTTGGCATTTGCAAGTAGGTAATTAATGTTTATGGATTTTGCAAAATGTCTGTAATTAGTAATTGTTAAATAATACATGTTAAATGAAAGGTGTAATATTTGTTTGTTTGTTTTGTTTTTATTGGATGCATGTGTCCCTAAAATTAGGTTTAACAAAAACTAATTATTCGTATAAAAATATTAAAAGCAATTATGGTACTGAAGGTTCAAAAATAAAAAAGTTTTTAGTCATAAAATTCATCTTTCAACCAATTCTTAAATTGTGTCCATGACAACCAGTGTAGAATATTTTAGTTTATCAGACACACAACGTTAATTAGTTTTTTAAACTTTCTTTTATTTTTTATTTTAATGCTTAAATGATTAAAAACAATGTTTTAATGATGTTTCATAAAAAAAGCAATTTGTTACTATCCTAAGATACATCTGTCAATAATGTTAAGATTAGCTCCCTTATTTCATTTGTTTCCCTGGCAACAGTTATTGGATGAGGATCATTTTAGCTAATTGTTAAAAAAAAAATTTAAATTAACTTCTTTTATTTATTTTGCACGAGTCAAATCTGTCAAAATCAAATTTTTCATAATGTTAGATTCTATATCATTTAAGTTCTTTAAAAAACAAAAATGATCAAGGTAATGTTTTGTCGGTATTAATTTTGTTAAAAATAATATTGGATATTGTTTTAGGATTAATTTAAAAATTTGTTAGTAAACAACTTATACTTTCACAATAGATTTAAAAGAGAGTAATAACAAAGGAAAGGTATGTAAAGTTAAAAAAATACTGGTGGTAAAGACAATAATACTTACTATAGATCTACTCCTATTGTATATTATTGGGTTTTTTCATATACAGTGTCCACGGATGGACTTAACTATGCTTGTAAAAATATTTATTTTCAATTTTTCGAGAAAAAGTCATTTTTCATAATTTCTTTTGCTTGTTATATAAATACGATTCACGTTGAAAAACATCCATTTTGTTGTACAGGGTGACCAAAAATTCAAATTTTCAAAATTAAAAATTGTAAATTTTTTTTTTTAAGCGCTAATATAAAGAGCTGGTAAGGAGAAATCATAAAGTCAAATGAAGTTTTTTAATATGAGTTTTTCATACTAAGATATTTGATATTGAAAATTTAAGATATTAGTTTTCAAATTTTAACAAATAATTGTAGACATTGTAGACATGTCAGTTGAAAGCAACAACCTTGAGTCATAATCACAAAATAATAAATTTCTACAAAATAATAGGACGACTCAAGTTAGGACCTGAATTGATTTTATTTTTAACAACAAATATCTTAGTAACAACAACTCACATAAAAAAAATTATTTGGCTTTTTGGTTTCTCCTTACAAGCTCTTCATATTAGACCTTAAAAAAATATATTTAACAATTTTTAATTTTGCAAAATCTACAATTGTATTTTTTTTTGTACTAAATTATACATAGTGATTCATTAAAGGTTTATAAAGAATTAAAAGAGACATCAATCTAAAACTTTAGTTCAGTTATAGCGCGATGTTATCTATTTTTTTTAAAATATTCTAATGTGCTGTCATTTTAAATCGTTTTCTTATCCTAAACGAATTGAATTGAATATTTTTAATTTTTTCAAAAAATGTTGACAGATGGAGTGAAAATATCAGTATTACCAACAGTTGTAATGTTAAAAAGTTCAATCTTGGTATACACGTTAACAGGGTGTATGGGTGGATGGTATTTCCATCCATTCCTCCTGTTTAATTATTTTGAAGCATATTTCTTAAATTGTGGAATCATAACTGCTTTTTTATGGTTTATTAATTATTTAATAAACTTTATTGATATTGGATGCCTTTGGAGCAATTTTAATTACATAATTAAATTTAAAGCATGCTTACTATTTCAAAGGGATTAAAAGTGTGCTTACCAATGACTATTCATATCGATGTTTATCATATGTTTATTGAGATAAAGTAATAATTTTTCTCTATATTTCGTTTCACTACATATGTATTCGTCAATAGACATAAAATCTAAAAAAGTTATATAATGTAATAATAAAGGGGGTAAGAAGCAAAAGGGTAAGTTGCAAAAAAAAGTGAAGCAATTACCCTTTTAAGTTTTTGCATATACAAAAATGTGGATACTTGTTTCAATATTGTTGTTAATTAACATCCAGGAAAATTTTCACTTTACAACTACCCAATTCTGCACTTATTTTCATTCTAAAACTTGTATTCTTTTGGTGATTAATAATGGTTAAGAATTTTAAATTTAAAACATAATTTTAACGACTTTAAAGTTTATATTATTTTTTAAAGTTTAAACTTATTAAAATACGCTGATAATGGTTTTATAAGAAGTAAAAATTCTTTAACTGTGAATGAAAATGGTTATATTCGTATTTTTAGAAAAATCGCGTACTTTTTTTTATCAAAAGACAAAGATAAAAACCCTCTTTCTCATACTCACTTAGGTACTCTTCGTTCTGGCAATTTTTCTTGTAATATTTACTTATAAAGTGTTCTAAATATTTAAAAAAGAGAAATTATAGTTAATTTTTTAAACAATAGAAAATAAAACAATCATAACGATCAAAAAATAATATAAACATTATTTACATTGCCTTATTATATTATAGTATTTATAAATTAAAATTTATTTGAATTAATAAACAATTAAAAATTCATTAACAATTTGGTTGCCAAAATTTTCACTTTAATTAAAGCCAATATAAATGCATAAATTCATCAAATATACTTTAATTAAATTGAAACTAAATTAACATTATTTTATTACTTATAATTTTGTAACCAACTTTATTATTCACTGCATGCTGATGTAGATGTGGAAAATTAGTTTTGTATTTAAATGCGACTCAAAAAATATTCTTATGAAACATTTAATTGTGTTTATCTCTTAATTGCCTGCAAAGTTTATTATTCTATAAAAGTAACCATTAGGTATGTATATAAATTTATTTTTCCCATAAAAATGTGTATATGTAATATGTATTATTACGTTTAGTTTTTATTATAGCAATCGTTTTAACAATGGGACTAATTATAACACATTACAATAATATGTTGACACGTAAAAAAGAAAACCTAGTTTTACTCTTTGCCTTTTATTTGTTTTAAGAACTGCAATACTTACAGCCAATTTTAATGTACTATGCTTCACAACAATAGTTTAATACTTATTTCGGCTTATCTAATAAAAATAATACAATATAATATATATATAAATATATAAACAATATTATTTAATATAATATGAATGTATATTTTGTTTTCCTAATAAAGACATAACTGTGTGCTACTACTACACAATATTTTATAAAAATCGAAATGTTAATTTATGTTGTCTCGCGGTCGTGGCCAATCCAAACAAAGACAAGACCAAAGAATTTAATTGGTGAGATGCATCGAACGAGTATGCATCACTTTCACCTATGGCGATGACCGACCCAAAGGTCACTAAGATCTGAACTTTTTCCACCAGACCCTGCTGAAATTTATAACACCGTTAATCATAAAAACAGATATTTGTTACTAGTTACAAGAAAAATCATTATTGTTAATATTTATTAATTCATAGTTTTAAATTGCTAAACATTCTAAAGACCTAGGCTATACATTCATACATGTAAGTACCTACTTGTTTTTTATTAATATTTATAACCTTCAATTTTATTAAGATGTCTAATACAAAATTATGCAATTTTTAACAACTTCGATTGTTTGTACATTTTACCCAATAGTATTACCCAAATATTTACTCTTAAAGGATGTTTTAATAATAAAATGTTTCTATGTCAATATACAATAGTTTCTATTTAAGGTGATGCCGATTTTTTTTTGTCTGTATAATAAAACCAAACAGAAAGTATACCTGTAAGGTTTTCTAAATTAGTTTTAGAAATCGAAAAAAATATATCGAGTTTTGCCAAACCTTGTTATAAGATTATATGTTATGTAAGATTGTAATTTCTCCTAAATTATTTTAAAAACAATAACAACAATTAAGTGTCATGCTAAAAATTCCTATTGTTTATTTTTTATATTGTTGTATATAATTTTTTATGGTTTAGTTATTTATTTCTGTTATCTCTTACATTCAAGAGTGATGCCTTTTATACTTAAGAGGTCTATAAATTTAACTTTATTGTCGTCAGCACTGGGCAATAAAGTGATTGATTATGGTATAGGCACATAATAAAACATTAGGTATGGGTTAGTATTAGTTCTTAGCGTGTTTGTCCGATTTCATTAGGCACTGAAATTTGGACCAATCATAAAATTCGACTTCTATCAGACAATTTTAACCTTACTTTCTACTTTTAATAATTGTACGTTTTATTTATCGTTTAACAAAAAAAATTGTCCTCTTGTGATTTGCTTAAATGTAGGCGAGGAGGCAAATCAAACTACGGAAATACAATTTTTAATAACAATGGAAAAAATAATGCAAAAAACAAAATATTTAGGCTCTTCTATTTTTAAAGACTTTTTTATTTGCCTATTACTAAAAAATCATAAATTTATATTTTTGATACTTACAACCTGTTCTTTTTTTGTAAACAACGTTGTTTAAACTGATTTGTAGAAATAAATCCGAACCTACTATTCTACAGTTTATCGCAATTTGCTAGACAATTGTTAAGTTATTATTATAATTTTTCTAGATTCTTTGCATAGTGAAAAATAGGAAATGCCTATGTTTAATATAAATATTTAAAATAGTATTTTAAACAGAAAATCTGTTTGGCATTTGACCACAACGGTTAGATTTTTTGTAGAACTATCAAAATTTTGATTTTTTCGATTCAAAACAGTTTTTTGTCCCTTATGATTGAATAAAATAAAATATAATACCACTAATAATTATTATTAATAATATATTGAGACCCAAAAAATATAATAGTTTTTTGAAACGAATATTTTTTATTATTAAAAAATAAAAAATTGTAAGATTATTCTAAAAAACACAATTTTTTGCAGTCTGTTCTCTAAAAATGAATTAGTCAAAAATGACTAATTACTAGTTATTAGTGGCTGCTTTTTTTCACTTATACCATGGTATACCATGGGATAGCATGGTATCCCCGATATAATAGCCAATTCTTATGTAAAATTACCCCCTTATTTCGAAAATACTTATAAAAGTAGAGTAGTTTTGAGATATTTCATATTATATGGAAAATTGACTATATCTTAAAAACTGTTTTACTGTTATAACTTTTGACCACATTTTCGAATCATGCGGATAATTTTACATAAGAATTGGCTATTATATCGGGGATAACATGCTATCCCATGGTATACCATGGTATAGTAAAAAAGCAGCCACTAATAACATTTTTAGAGAGTACTGAATTTCTATAGATTGTAGAAAATACTAAAAACACGCACTAAAAAGCATAAAAATGTGAAATTTACTTAAAATATTTTGTGTTATTGATAAACGTCGCTTCTTATATTGTGACTTTTAATTAATTTCAACCCCTTTTTGGCAAAGTCAATGAAAATTTAGAACTTTTTAGTTAAACTATTATTTATTTTTGACTTGTTCATTTTAAAACTTTGTTTGTTAGTAACATTCGCCATATTAAAATTAAAATGACGTCACTTATTCTGCTTAACAAACTATTTTATTTGATACCCACGTAAAGGAGGTTGTAAAAAAATAGGTAATAGGCATATTGGATTTAGTATGACTTTAATATCCTTATATTTTTCTACTTGTCAAACCCTATAATTTAATACCCATGTCAAGAAGGTTGTGAACAAATAGGTAATCAGCCATCTTTGAGTGACCACCATATTGGGTTTAGTATAACGTTACTCACCTTATTATTTTTTACTCGTGAAACCCTTTTATTTGATACCCATATTAAGTGGGTTGTAAATCTAGCATCTTGAAATTTCAGCTCAATTGGTTTGGTTAAAATCGAGTTTTGTGGACATTTAGTTTGTAAGTTACAGTAAAGCCAATATTTTCTTTTTTTATTATAATTATTATATTTTATTAATTTTTACCATTTCCAATAATTGTTTCAACAATTATTGTTCTTTTGATTTTTGCTGAATATTTTTTAATTGAAATTTCATGATAAAATAAAATTTGTATAATTTCAAAAAGGAATTGTTTTCTATTATTTGTTTTAGTTCTTCATATTAAAAAATATTTAACTATTTCGAAACCATTTATTTTTAATTAATAAAACTTGGAAATAAATCAATTTTGCCAAATTTCTATTTGTAAGGAGAAATTTTTACATTTGCAATAATAAAAATACAAACTGTATATTTTAAGCTAAATTTATAAATTTATTTATCCCAGATTTTATTTATATGTATAAAAAAGGCATTAACGTATCACGAATCTTTTTCTGCACCTCATCATTAGTAAAAGTACTGTAATTGAGCTTTCAATTTCCTTCGTGACTTAATCTATATCTGTCCAGTACTTTCTGTTGATTATATACGATTTTTAAACTGTACTTTAACACGACAAACTCGTCTTGTATGCATTGCGAATTTTTAATGCGTTTTATTGGCCAATTGTTCATGGTTATTGCAAAATTTCCGGAATAAAATACTACTAAGATCCTTTAAACATTATGACAAAATAAGGTTATAACATATTAACTAATTAGTTAAATATCAAAATCTATAATAATAAAAAGTTTATAGACTTAATTTACCTAACTAAACCGATATATTACAAAATACCAATTAGGTATATGGTTTATTAAAACTTAGATTTCCTGTTAATGGATTTCCTAATCAAATCTTTATGATGATTTATTTTACCTTAGCTTAACTTTGTTACAAAGCTTGTACGAAAAGTTTAATGTGTTATCTTTTAAAATTTAACATAAAGTTGTAATAAAAGTTGTTCATTTTAATAAAAACATTTATTAATTTAATTGTTACATAGAATTACATAAATATCCAACTAGTAACAATGATAAATAAGTCATTTAAAGCGACTCAGTTCAGTCGCACAAGTCACAAATAAATAAATAGAGAACATTCTACACAGTAGTAGTAATAGGGTGTGAAGATTACGTCCTTAAGTTTAAACATTATCAACTATTTACCTTTACTAAACATCATTGACTTAAGTACATAATTAAAGCGCAACTTATGAACAAAAAAGTCTTTCGAGTTAAGAATTATATTATTGGCAATACATCAATCTAATGATTATTTTCTGTATCTATATTGGGAGCTAAAAAAGTTTGTCAGAATTCCTAATATATTGGAGTCTGGTTGTTTACCACGTAAGGTAAGTCGGGCCAAAGCGTCACTGACTCTTTGTAGAGTATCGGAATCTTTGTTACGCCCCTCTGCGGCCAAGGTTTTTGGTGTACTTGTTTCCTCCAATAAATCTTTGAAGATCTCGTCTGCTTCTCTTTGCTCCTGTTCTCTGGTTAGAATCCTCTCGGTATTTTCAGCGTTTAATTCCAAATCTAGTTGCTTAAAGACTTCATCTGCCTGCTCCTCAGCCGAATTTTCACGTTTTCCTATGGATTTCTCAGGTTTAGGGAGCTCTTCCGGACGCGTCGTACTCTCAATGGTCACCTTAAAAGTTATAACCTCGACATCTTTGTTAACAATTGGTTTAAAATCATCTATCTTCTGTATTTCTCCTATGAACTCTACATCATCAGCAATATTAATGGTGGATGATTCAACACTACCTTCAGCTACATCTTTATTCTCCTTCATCATGTCCTTTATCTCCATATTCTCGCCCTCCAAGCTAATATCTTCATTAGAATATTTTATAGGGGATGTTTTCATTTTTTCTGTGGTGTGCTCGCCCGATTCTTCTGTAGATTCTTCAATGGTTTCAACCGATCTATCATTAGTACTACTCTCAGTGAGTGTGGTAAATGTCTCCACTGATTTAACTGTAGTGGCATCAAGTTTTTCAGTAGTGATATCATCTGTTTTGCTAATTGTAAAATCAACCGATTTATCTGTAGTTTCTGTAATATTAATCACAGGTATTTCAGTTATAGCAGCCATGATACTGACGGATTCATTCTTTAGCCATTCGCTGTGTGTTGTATTTTCAGGCAAGGTTTTATTATTGCGTACTTCCAAAACTTCTGGTAGTATTTTCATATCCATTATGGGTTCTTCAATGTCAGTGGTGGAATTTGTGGAATCATTTTCATTATTATTGTCGAATCTTTGTGATGTATCATCAGGGTGAGCTGTTTCTTCCTGTGTAATCATGATGTCAGGGATTGGGGGATATTCAGGGTTTTCCAGTTTTTCTGTTGTGCTCGGTTTTACTTCTGTTGTTAGATTTAGTGGTTGCTCTGAGGTTGTGAGTGTTTCAGGTAGGTCTGATGTAACGCTAGTTTCAGTTGTGGTATTTTCTGTTGATTCAGTCATATTATAAGAGACAGTGGTAGTTGATGATTCTAATGATACTTCTTCCGATATATTCAGCACTGCTTCTGTTGTAGATATTGGTGCTGCGGTTGTAGTGGCTTCGCCATTTTTATTCTTTCTTTTCACCAACGATAAAATATGGCTGGATTCTGAAGTCTTTAACTCCAAATCGTTGGTCTCAGTTATATTCTCCTTATGTTCCAAATAATCATGTGATTCAGCACTCTCCTCAAAGCCCCTTTGTAAACCCTCAGCCCCAATAATGGTTATAACAGACGTAGGAGTACTAGTGTCTTTCTCAGGAATAAATTCTCCTTTCTTTAAGAACAAAAGCTTGTCACCAATCCTCAATACAGGCGGTGGTTGTTGAAAAACTTCAGTAATCTCGCTTGAATCTGGCTCTGAGTCCGTCACAACTAAATCGTTGGTTTCATCTTTATTGGTTTCCTCTATTATAAGTTGTCCTTGCGTTTGTAAACTCTCCTCCACTCTCGGAGATGCTGTAATTGGTATTTCTTTAATTTCAGGTATTATTTCTTGAATTGTTATCTTGGGTTGGCTAATAGCGTCATTTAGTAGCTCTAGATCCTCGATTTCAACGTGTGCGGTGTGAGATAGCTTGTTGGTTAGTTCTAGGTTGATTTCTTTTTCTAACTCCTTGTTGGGTTTGTATTCATCCGGTATTTCGTTGGTGGTTTGGCCCAGGAAAGTCTCGTTGGTGGTGACAGATGGTAGGGGTAGTACCTCCAGTGATTCTTGATCAATATTCTTCAAAGTCAACTCTGTAGTGACGCTTCCTTCCAGGAAAGAATCTACAAGGAAAAAAAGTTAATATAAACTCTTTTAAATAATTGATGTAGGTTACCAATAGGTGGGCAGTGGTCATATTTGGGACAGCATGTTCCTGGGACGCTTCTTCCTTCACAATCCTTACGAATGTAGCAGGAAACATTAGCACATTGTATTTCTCCACCACGGCAGTAGCACACTTTGCATTCTCCTCCAAGTGGGGTGTCCAATTTCTCACCATTACCATACACTCGACCGTTGTGTTGACATTCTAAAAAAAAAAATCATTTTAGTGAAAAATTACCTAACTGTGTTTCCTTGTTAATTAATTGATCAGTCCACACTGTTATAAAAATCAGATTTGTTAACATGAGTTTATACCTAGTTTGTTAATTTTATTTTGTAAAATTTTAACACAATTTCAGGCAGTTAATCAAAACATTTTCCACTGACAATACGCATCAACAAGTTTAACTGACTTCAGCCTCTGCAACTTATGTTTCTGCTTACTTTATTCCCTAGACCAAACCAATAGATAAATATCTTATGTAGAATGTCGGGACAGTATTATAATATTTAGCCAAGCCAAGAGAGGGCGCGGATTTTATAATTTTTTGAGGTTTTGACGTTTTTGACGTTGACGTTGACGTAGTTATCGAATTTTTGTAAGATTTTGTGTATTTGTGTGTTTTTATTGTATATTGTTTCTAAGGTTTGTATGACCGAATCATAATCTTTCAGATGGTAGGCATGTAGTTTAATAAAATTTATGGATTTAACAGTATTCTTCAATTTCAAAATAATGATCAATAGGTAGACTATCATAAATAACAAAAACAATGTTTCTTACCATATATGAATGGTACTTTTGGGAATAAGTATGATAATGGTTCAACGACTTTTACAAATTAAAAAAATCACAGATTTTACAAATGAATACTAAATACACTTGTTTTACATTTGTTTTCCTCATTGCTTTTCCATTTCTTTAGTTTATAAAAGTTGCTTGAGAATTACAGCATAACCACAGAAGTACCTTAAATATTGTTTTCGTTACTAATTACATTTAAAACCTAGCCACAAGTTAGATTTTAAATAATATTTATTATAGTGCCATTGAAGTAACCAATCAAATACGTTGATTTTCCACCAATTAAAAGCTATGTTGGCAAAAGTTGCCTGTAAACACGTAATTTAATTTTTAGCCTCAGAGAGGGCGCTTCATTTGGCTCCAAACTATATACTCTTTAAGATAGTCATCTATTGGTTTGGTTAGGCTTTATTCGTAACGTGTTCGTAACTACTGTCCAGAAATCTGTTATTATTGTTATTTGGATTTCTTATACCTATTTAACGAGTGTGCAAAGTACGAGGCAAAGTATTTGTAAAAAGATGCCATCACTATCAATAATTATATTGTACCAAATTTCCTTATGATTTTATGATTTCAGAATGGTGTGTTATTTAATTGTGTCTATGTTATTTTTGTGTTAATTTCTATTCTTTTCATTTAGGTTCCTAATTTTCAACAAATACTTTTGTCACTAGGTCTACAAAAAGTTTTGTAAAAATAAGGTCCTTTTTGAAAATTACAGGAATTATGGTTGAATTATTGATGTAGGATTTTGTTATTAAATCTACAATATGTTTGTTATAATTACAAACTACTTATTCAATAGTTAACAGATTACAGTTGGTTGTAAACTTAACATAAAGTTATGTGGATCTGAATTAACATAAAATCTTGTTAATATTAACAAATATTTTGTTACTGTGCATAGACAATTTTCCTACCAAGACAGACGATAAAATTAATCAATCCCTTGGTGAATTTGAACAAAACTAATAAAATCTTTTGATACAGTTTCAGTCCCACTTTGACATTTGAATAGAAATATTTGAGGTTATCCATCTGTCATTTAATTAATTAATTGCAGTTTACATTTTTCAATTATGGGCGATGCAAAATAAATTACTTATTTAACTTCTTTATACACACAAAGTAAATCGAATTTGTAACGGGCTTATTTTTAACATTAATCCCGCCGGTTTATAACATCTCGTAAAACCGCGCGCGCTTTTAATGTTGGCTAGCGGGTTCGGATTTTGCACGAGTCAAGCATTTTCATATTAAAAATGTAGCCACAAAGTTACTCAAATAATCCCGCTGCAAATTCGTTTTGCCATGTTTTTTATTTTATATTTAAACCGTTTTAACCATAAATAGGCATAGGATGTCGTATTTAGTCAAATAGAGCCTTTAAGTTACGATATTTTTTGTATACCTCCTTAAAAACAAACCTTAAAATTGTAACTTTGATATAATAATATTACCTCTCCTCTCCTCAGAAACTTTTCACTAAAGTAAATGTATAAACTAAGAAAGCAAATTCTAGGGATGATTTAATATCGATTTCACATAATTATCCAATCCAAAATTAACTCTAAGGAAAGATAAAATTATACCCAGAGAGCCGTATTGGGAATGGTTACTTTAAAATCCAGTAAATTGGGAAAAACTTTGTTATTTAAGAAGTGAACATGTATTAAGTAATGATTCCCAAAAACACATAATATGATTTTGGTAATCATTATTATATTTACCATACGTGTGCTGTTCGGCAACTATTCTTTGACTGTAAAGTAGTAATTACAAAACTAATTAAAAGAATACAAAAACGTTGTAAACGTGTCTTCGCGCATGTGGTGATTTCGGAGTGCCAACGGACAAACAAAAATTAATTTAAATTTAATACATTTTTAACTTAATTATGACACGTTACTATAAATATCAATAGCAATCAATACAAAAAATATTACAAAATATATTCTGATTTTACAAAAAGTAATCCGTGCTTAGGTTTTAAGTAACTTTTTTCAAAGTTATAGCAATAAGTACTAAATTAAAAAAATATTTTCTCCCTGTACCTTTACACAAAATGTAACTTTTATAATTTAAAATTAAAAATAATTTTAAGGTAAGTTAAGAACAACTTTAACAAATCCATTTTATCTTCTTTGACATGTCAACATTTCTCTTAAGTCGGTTAATTAGTTAATTTGGCCGAGACATATTTAAAGGCTTAAAAAAAATAAAAAATGAGAAAAGTCAATTTTGCATTAATAATTTCACGAATTCTAAAATATTATGAGCTCTTACGCTCAATAGCCCAGAGACCGCGCGGACTAGGCAAGATGATCAAACATCGAGGAGCGCGAAGACACACATAAAATTCATTTACTGGCTAAATTAATTTGTTTTAGATTTAAATACAAAATTAATAATATAAATGGGGTTTGCACGTTTTTTTTTAAATTGGTCTTAAAAGAAAGTTTGAACATTCTTTTAGCCGAAATGTATTTTTTGGTAATTTTTGGACACCTAGTTATTAGTATATAATAGTTTATTAAAGAAGTAATGTCATAAGACGTCATTTGTCCCACGCGGACGAGTTCGACAAAAGGTCTTATGACATGAGTTCTTTATGCTATTTTATCTATTTCTATATAAAAAATTAATTTTAAACCTTAAATTTAATTTGGTCGAATTTTACTTTAGATAGTTGGTATTACAGTAATTAGTTTGACAGTTAATGTCAAAATCGATTCGCCATGCCGTCCTTAATTTACTTATTTACAATAAGCGGCTGTTAATGTTAAAGAAGAAAAAAAGGATTTTCTTTGGTGTTAAACAAAATTGCCAGAAAAGTCTCGTAAGTACTAGAAAAATCATAAAAATATTATAACCAATATGCAAAATATTATGCTGTTTAAAGTATAGCCAACCTATAAAATCAAAATTTTGGGTGGGATAACAGCACCGAGAGCGGTGTTATAATGAAGTCATTATGAACGCAAAATAAATAAAAATATATTTATTTTATTTAACCGCTGACACTGATGAAACTCGAATATGTCCTAAAACTGTGAACATTTCAAAAATATACAGAGGTAGGTAATTTATTAATTATAAATTATAATTTGTAAATAATAAGCATCTAAATTATTTAAACTTTCTATTATTTTCTATTTTTTAGTGTTTTGCGCCTTTAAATGATGGTACCTTAATATTTTAAATACTATAACCAAAGATAATATCTTTGACTATAACCTTCCCTTAAGTATATAGATAACGGTTGCCTGGTGAATAAATTTTGTTTAAGTAATGGCGAATGCGCCGGGATGAATTCATAATTATTTAATTTATTAATAATTATATTATAATATTATATAATAATTATAATTGAGGAGCATCCATGCAAACCGGCTATATCCATTTTTATAAAATGTTGAGTAAATGGCAAAAACTCCCCATTTACTAGCCTTTACAGATAAAAAAGATGCACCTTAATTAAGTTTTATGGGCACAAAACTCAAGATGCATTTTTTTATCTGCCATTTTCCCAACATTTTATTAAAATGGATATAGCCGGTTTTGCACGGATGCTGCTCAATTTAATATTTATTACACATTGTTACAAATTTGGGGTGATAAATTTTAAACCAAATTTCACTAATTTTGCCTTAAAGTAAACCTTTTTAATAATAAAACCCTCACTGGGTTTGTTAAAGTTACCTCAATTTTTTTTGTATGACCTTGTGATGTTTTTGAGTTTTGGTTAATATATTGTATTATACAATAATATTATATAATATTGATACGTCAAATTTTGTTTACTTACTAATTGTTTTTTTAGCAAAGCAGTTGATGTTTCTTATTCCAAATATTTGTAAAAAGATTTTTCATCTCAAAATAATTTATATTTATGAAGATTTAATGCAATAAAATTTAGTTTTTAGGGTCCATGTTCTTATAAAATAGCTTTTTTTCCTTTTTTTCTAGTAATATTAATATTTTTTGTTTTTAATTTAAAACCTTAAAAAAATTCCTAACCATAAAGGGAATAAATTAAATTTTTGTTATAAAAAAATATTTGAAATGTTGCCCTTTTTATAATTTTAGGTCGCATATGTATAACTTGCGTTATTAAAACGATAAGTATTTGTCGTAGAAAAAGGATAGTATGCAACTCGTTTATAAACTTTTCTACACTCATTTAATTAAAATTAAAATTCGTGACTTAAAGGGCGTTTATCAAACTTGCTTACTATTTTTAGCATGGATTTTTACTCAGATTATTATTATTATTACATTTATATACATTGCAATAAGCTTATAGCTTGTCTAGGGATTAATATCTAAATGTTTTAAATTACATAATCAAACTCGCTGCACACTTAACCCTTTTTAAATTTTTATCATAAGGTAAC